ACGAGCCAGTACGCTTGGCGCGGCCAGGGCTATGGATCAACACGGAGCACGCGCCGGAGGCCCTGGAAGCGTTGGGGCTCGCAGCAGGCGACCTGGTGCAGGTCGGGGTGCTGGACGCCACTTGGGCCTCGCTGGGCTCCAAGATCGTCCGCGTCGTGGGGGTGCCGACTCTCGACCAGGAAGGCCTCTTTCTCGAGTTCGAGAGCTTGGGCGCTTCGGACGCGTACCTCGAGTGGTACGCCCGAGCTCGGGGGGAGAGCGGAGCTCGGGCGGACGACACCCTGCTGCACGTGTGCGCCGTGCAGGCGAAGGCTTGTCGAGCGACAGGGGCTGCAGGATCAGCAGTCGAGCACGTCAACCTGATCCGCCTGATAAGCGAGTAGGAGGCGCTCGAGCTGTTGCAGAGCTGGGGATGCGAACAGCCTCCTGCGCCCGCGGCGCGGGGGAGAGCGGCCGGTGGGCCGCCAGGCAGGGGGCCAAGGCGGCGCCAGCGGCACACAGGCCTGGGCGGCGGAGGGCGCTGCCAGCCTTGAGCCCGCATCCGGAGATCGGGCCGACCGACGACGAGGAGGGCGGCGAGGAGGTGCCGGGGGTCCTCGAGGAGCTGCCGAAGCCGCCTGCCGAGCCTCGCCGCGCGCGGGAGCTGCTGCCGCTGCTTGGCCCGAGGAGCACGGGGCGCGCTCGTGCCGCCCTGCCGATGCCTCGTGGTCGCCGCGCCCCGCGAGAGGACGAGCAGCCTCGTTCGAGGAGCGGGGGGCGCGGGGGTGGCGACCCGCTGGACGAGGCGTTGGGGGGCCTGGGGCGTGGATGCGCCGACGGCGGCAGAGCGGCCGTGCTGCGGCAGCGCCGAGGGGGGCCGGGCGCCGAGGATCGCTTGCCGGAGCCTCAGGGCGCTCGCAGCAGCCAGGGCGCGCAGACCGTGCTGGCGGCGCGCGCCGCCGAGAAGGCTGCTGCAGGGAGGCCCTCACGGGACCGCGCGGCGAGGAGTTCGTTCGAGCGGCAGCTGTGCAAGAGATTGTTGGGGCGGAGGGCCCTGACTGGCGACCGCGAGTCGGATGGCGAGCAGGTAGGCGACTCGGAGCACGAGATGGACACGGACTCGCGGGACGCGAAGGGGCGGCACGACCACTTCATCGAGCTGGCCGTTCGGAAGCCCGGACTGCTGCTCAAGAGCGGACTGGAGCAGCTGAGGAGGCAGTTTGCTGGGCGGGGGCCGTCGGGCGAGCTGCCGGCATGCTGCGCGGCGTCCCTCGACGCGGTGTTCTTCCTCGAGCACGGGCCGAAGGCCATCGGCGCGGCCGAGGTGCGGCTGCTGCGGGCGCTCGCACGCGTGCTGGGCTTGGGTCTGGAGGGACAGACCGCGCAGGCGCTGGACGTGGTGATGCAGGAGTTCACGTCACGAGCCCTTGCCATCAAGGATGGAGGCTGGCACGCGGCGCAGTGGCTTGCCCTGGTGCCGATGGATGCCGAGCCGTGCGCCGCCTCGAGGACGGAGGAGACTGCGGCGAGAAGGGTCGCGCACGCCGAACTCAGGAGGGAAGAGCTCGGGGCAGAGCTGCATCGATCTGAATAAGAGCTCTCTCTAGGGACTCGGCCGGGGGGTGTCGCCCGAGGGGGCGGCCCCTCCTGCAGGCCGCCACGGGGGCCGCCCGCGCACTACAGAGCGGCGCCCCCGAGCCCCCCTCCCGGCTGGCCGCGGCGCCGACGGAACCGCCGTCGAGCGAGGTCCGCCGCGCGGCCGCAGCTGCGGTCGGAGCCGGTCGCCCAGCCCCTCGGCGCGGCCGCGGGAAGGGCGGGCGAGGCCGCCCTGGCGGGCGCGGAGCGGCGCCGCCGCCGCAGCCGCCGCTGGCCGAGGGCGACGAGCCAGAGCGGCGCGCGGCGATGGCCGAGGAGGCGGCGGCGCCCCGGGCCGCGGGCCAGCCGTCGCACAAGGAGCTGAAGGCGCAGCGCCCCAGGCACGAGAAGGAGACGAAGAGGGCCTACAGCGTCAGGATGGCAAAGCTGATGAAGCAGACGGGGGCCGAAACGAGGTAGGCGGACAGCAGCGCGAGGCCGGGAGATCGACGCCCGCCCCGCAGGGTCTCGGCAGAGAGGCGTGCTCTGTCGCGGCAAGCTGTAGCAGGACTCGTCTGGAGTACATCGCAAAGTTGATCGACACCTGCCGCGGGGGCCCAGGTGAGCACGGGTCCTGTCTCCGCCACTCTGGTTCGGCTCAGCCAGATCCGCGGGTGGCGCGTCGTCAGGGCCTCCTCCCGCGGCCCTTGCCGGAGCAAGGGTCTTTCCAGGTGGTGGGGGACGTGTTCAGGGGCGGCAGGGCGCTCGACCACGACATCGAGCTTATCTGCAGGGGGTGCTGCGAAGAGCTCGAGTGGGTCATCATCTGCGGGCTCAACTTCGCGGCTGGGGGGCGGGGGGGCGGATCTCCCGCGCCCCGGCCTCGTTTGGTCAGCCTTGCCCAGCGGGCCGCTTGGGGCCTCATTGGCGAGGCCGTGGCCTACTGCAGCAGGGGGCCGCTCGCCGCGCATGAGGAGCTAGACTGGGGCGAGGTCGCGCAGGCAAAGGCCGTCGCCTATAACGGACAGGAGGTCGAGCAAGGCTGCCCATTGGCGCAGGGCAGGCTCCTCCCGGGGGTGCCTGCGGCAGGACTTCTGGGGCCTGTCAGCGCCCTGGACCTCGAGGGCCCGCGTGTGCTGAAGTGGCCCCTGGGCCCGGCGACCCTGCTGAAGCCCCCTTCAGAGTGGCCGACGGAGTTGCCGAGGGCGTCGGCGCAGGCGGCGAGCGACGAGGAGGAGTACTGCATCTGCGAGCACCTCTTCCGAGTAGGAATCTTCGAGCAAATCGAGGAGGAGGCCATCTTCAGCATCGACGGGGCACCCGGTCGGGCAGAGGCGCTCGCCGTCGTTAAGAAGGGGGCCCCCGCGACAAGCCTCTCGAAGGTCACGCGCCAAATCGTCTACATCGTACACCAGGGCGCTTACCAGCGCATCGCCGAGACCGACCTGGACAGCCTGACGCCGAGCTCGTCGTGGACGGGCTTCGTCCTGTGCGAGGGGCAGGCGCTCTCGGGGTCGTCGGATGACCAGTCAGGCGCCTTCCACTTGTACTTGCTGCCACCGCAGTGGCGCGGCTACGTGGCGGTGCGGAAGCAGGTGCCTGGCGGCTGCGTAGGCTGGCCCGACTCCAAGTGGGTCCGCAAGTCCGTTGCCGCGATCCCGATGGGATGGCTATCTGCGGTCGGCCAGCCGCAGCACCTCGATCGCCGGCTGGGCGACGGGCCGCGCAGCGCCGGGTTTGCGGAGTCCAGCGAGTGGAGGCGCGACCAGCCGCTTCCGCTGCTCTCACGGAAGCTGCAGCAGGCCTCGGCTCAGCACTACCTGGATGACTTCGGCGCGCCCGAGGTTGCGCCCGAGAGCGTCGCCATCATGATCGAGGACACGATCGGAGAGTACCCGCTCAAACAGCGAGAGGTCTGGGCCGTCCCCGAGCTCAGAGCGGCAACCGCTAGTGCGGTAAAGGCGCTCGTGAAGCCGTTTGAGCTGCCAGCTGAGGCGCTCGCTGGGCTGCTCTCAGCGGAGCGCCTCCTCCCGCTGGGCCACGCCGACGCACGGGCAGCGCTCGGCGCGGTTGTGCTGGGCACCGACGCGGGCGAGGAGGGCGGCAACCTGTGCTACACGACGGGCCTCGCCCAGCACGGGGCCCAGGCTGCAGCGCAGCCAGTCGGGGGGGAAGGCGTGGCCTTCAAGCCGCGCGGCGCCATGAGCGCCCAAACACTGCAGGCGGTGCTGCTGGATGGGGGCTACCCTGCCGACCGTCGTGCCCTTTGACCTCTTCGGCGGGGTTCAAGCCTCCATGGTGGCGCTGTCGAGGTGCCCGTGCCGCGTTGCCATGTACGTGTCGTCGGAAATTGACAGGGCGGCGAAGCGTCACATGCAGCAGAGGCGGCCTGGAGTGATCCAAGTTGGCGACGCCGCCAAGGTCACGTCTGGGGCCTTGGCTCAGCTGGGCCGCTCGGGGAGCCAGGTGGCCCCTTTCGCCGCCATCGCGGCGGGGTCGCCGCGCATCGACCTGAGCGGGCTGAACGTTGAGGGGCTGGGGCTCCCCGGCGGCAAGAGCGGGCTGTTATTTGAGTTGCCGGGGGCCTTCATGGCGATAGAGCAGGTGTGCGAGATCGAGCGCGCGCGCGGGCTTGTGGAGGGCGTTGCAGGGATGCGCTCGAAGGATGTGGCAGTGTTCCCACAACAGCTGGGAACCAAGCCGCACAGGATCGAAGCGATGGTCGTGGGCCTGGTGAGGAGGCCTCTGCTTTACAGGCTGTCGTGGGCTCTGCAGGCACTCACTGAGGTGATCTGGGGCGATTGACATCACTGACGAGAAGAAGTACTTCAAGATCAAGCTGCACGCGTCGCCGTCCGATTTTCCAGCCGGGGCTGAGGACGGCTGGGGCCTGCCCGAGCCCAGGCACGCGCTGCCAACCTTTGCGAAGCAGCAGGGAAGGAAGTCACCACCAGGCCCGGCGGCCAAGATCAAGGGTGCGTCCGAGGCCGCGATTTCGAGGTGGACGGAGGCTAGCTACGTCTCGCAGGTGTGTAACTTCGAGGATCAGAACCTGGTCTGGAGCACCAGACGTACTGCCTGGCGGATTCCTTCTGCTGAGGAGCGCGAGACCCTGACGGGCATCGGCCGCTGGTGCACACTCGCGGCCGTGAAGGAGTCCGTTCCGAGGAAGGCGTGGCCTCGATCAGAGCTGCAGACCAATCTGTGGACGTGGCCGACTGGGCACTGCTACCCCTGGCGCGAGGACGGGCGCATCATGAGCTGGAGGTCGGGGCCGCGGTCAACGCCATCAAGTGGAAGTGGCAGACTACGTCCAGGTTCAGGCCAGGATGCCTCCACTGGCTTGACTCGCAGGTGGCCGCCAGTGTCCTGGACAAGGGGAGGAGCAGTGCGAGACGCCCTCGGGGCTGGATGCGATACCACGCGGCGTACATCCTCGCCTTTGGCTGCTACCCAATGTACGCGTACATCGACACAGACGACATCCCAGCGGACATCCCGAGCCGCTAGTCTGACGGGCGCCGCAGGACCCGCCCCCCGCCGCGGACCGCATGGTGCGGGGGCGCAGGGCAGCCGAGGCGTGAGCGCGGCGGGCGGCGAGCCCAGCCGCTAGGTGACTCACGCGCTGCTGCGGTCACGCGAGAGCGCTATGTCGCCCCCGAGCGCGCACTGCTGGCGCTCCGGGCAGCGACCGGCAAGCGGCCCGACTCTTTCAGGAGGATGACGAGGGCGTTGCTGCTTACAGTGAGCACCATGGCGCACCAATGGCTCGCTGCTGGAAGTGAACAACACCCTGGCAGCCATCCCTTTCTTTTTCTCCCACGCCGCGCGTGAGCGGCAAGCCAGCTGAGCAGGTCTGGCGTGGTTGAGGCTGGGGCCCATTGTGCGCGCCCTGCCGTTGTCGCCGCTGTCTGCGGGTGCCTTCGCAGGCGCCTTCTGCTGGTGGAACCGCGGGCGGGCCGCCGTGATGCTGCTGGCAGGATATGCGTGTTTCCAGAGGTCCGGCGAGTTGCTGTATCTCAGGTGCCGAGACGTTCGAATCTTCTCAGTGCGCGGAGTAACAATTTTGTCGCTGCAAGAGACAAAGACCAGCCGGCGAGGCGGCACTCAAAGCTGGCAGTCGTGCGTTCGCAGCAACAGTGCACTTGCTAGTGAGTATGGGACGCCGCTGTCGCCAAATGATTTGCTTCTCGGTTCGCCGCGCGCATCCCTGGCCGCCTGTTTCGACGAACCATTGCTGCCCTCGGCCCGAGCCAACAAACAAGTCACCCTCTACTCGATAGGAGAAGGGGCGCCGCTGCTGATTTCTCTATCTCACGGATCTAGAGAAAACGCTTTCTCAGAGGTCGTAGGGCGAGTGTCAGGTTTGCTCGCGCACACGTTGGGGACGCCGTGGCAGCACTGGCAGACTGCCAAATTAATTCTCAGCAAGAGGCCGATGCGCCAGAAGTGGCATCGCATCTAGCCTACTTAATTTGATCCCGCTCCTCCAACCCCTCTTTATCTTAGACGCACATTCAGACATCCCTCCTCCCTCCTCTCCGTCTGTGACAGCACGCGCGTAGGGAGTACCCAAGCAAGGATATGGGGGAATCGCCCATCGAAACGATGTGCAGAGATGGGGTCCATGGGAGAGTTGCGGTTTCCTGATGTGCTTCCCGGGCCCAGGGGATTTTGTCCTAGGGGCGCCCGTCGCTCGAGCTCTCCTGTCTGGGGCCTTCCCCGGAGCAAGGTCAGGGCCGGCGGTGCGGGCTTCTCCTCTACCCTCTCAGGGGGGGCGGGCGGGTGCTCGTGGCGTTCCCTCGGGCCCTGGTGACATCAGGTTCACCTGCACTCAACTGAACACAGTGTTCTGGCTGAGCCGTAAAATGATGGGGACGGGGGCATGCGTGCTCTCTCCGAGTGGTTTATGCCCCAGGAGACGCCCACATGCACGGCCAGCCGTCCGTGGACTCCGTAGTCATCTTGTGCCACCTCCCGTGTTTTTGCTTGTTTTTTTTCTTTCAGAGTTGCGGTTTCTTGATGTGCTTCCCGGGCCCAGGGGATTTTGTCCTAGGGCCATGTAGGTCCATCTATGCCTATTTAGTGCATCTGCTCATGGAGTAGTCGGCCTTAAATTTAGCGTCGACGCTAACATTTCGCGACGATCATCGCTAAATATGTAGCGACGAGCACATCTTAATGACGACGACGGCGCGACGTTGTGCCATGAGGAGGCGCACTTCGCCTGCAATGGGATATTTTATTCACGCGCGGAGGAGGCCGCGCCTCCTGCGGCGAGCCATGCGCTGCATGTGCGAGCGGCCTTGGCGTGTTCAGGGGGCGTCGCCCCCTCCAGGGCATCGCGTCGATCTCGCAGGGGCGGAAGTTGACTTGTCGTGGAGGCGAAGAACGAGGGGGCCGCGCCTCCTGCACGGGGGGGGGGGGGGGGATGGGGCGGGGCGAGCATGCCCACGCGGGGGCCGCGCCTCCTAGGGGCGACGACGGCGGCGCATCCAGCCTTCCCATCGCCGCCGCAGTCTGCCATCGAGAGGCCGCGGCAACGCCCCCCCCACCTCGGCGCGGGGGCGCTCGCATGTCGTCGGGGCGTGCGAAAGTGGAGATCGCCCAGGAGGATTTGAACGGGGTCATCCTCGGGCGGCGCCGCGCCCAGCGCGGCGGACCAGGGCGCGGCGATCCTGGCCCCTCATGGCGCGAGGAGCCCCCCGCGGAAGCGCAAGGGCGACGAGGGGGCGCGCATCGTCCCGTCGCAGGAGACCGTGGCCAGCAGCCCGCCGAGCACGAGGAAGGCCCGCGCGGCGTTTGCGTTTCGCTTTGTACCACACATGAGAGAGAGGGAGGCATGGAGAGACAGAGATTGAGAGAGAGAGAGAGGGAGAGTTCGAAGTTCGGAGTTCGAGAGAGAGAGAGAGAGAGTTCGATATGACAACGCCCTCTCTCTCCCGCGCCCCCATCGCCCCCCCCCCCCCCGCCGAGGCGCAAAAGGGGGCGAGCTACCGGGCCGAGAAGACGGCGACCTTCAAGGAGGACGAAGACTGGGTGGATTACAACACGATGGAACTCGTGAGGGTTCGGCACTGCCCCGAGGCGTGGCTCGGGCTCAAGGAAGAGCGGTTCCGTCTTCGCCAGGGCACCAAGGGCTTCGCCGTGATCACCGCCGACGGTGAGGCGGTCGAGACGCTGGTGGCGCACGCCGCCCTGCAGGCCGCGGAGCAGGGGGGCCGAGGGAAGGCGGCCAAGCCGCAGCAGGCACACCCGAAGGGCGGGGCGAAGACGCGGCCAGCGGCAGCGCGGAGGCCGGCGGCAGCGGGCGAGGAGGACGAGGAGGAGGACGAGGACGAGGCCAAGGCGGCCCGCGCCCGCGACGACAGCGAGGACGGCGAAATGGAGAGCAGCCAGGAGACGAACGAGTCCGACCTGGAGGGCGCCGCGGGCGGCTCGAGCAAGCGGAGGCCGGCTGCGGCCGGCAGGAAGCCTGCCGCGGCCGACGAGAAGCTTGCCGCGGCCGACAGGAGCCCGAGCTTGGAGGCGGAGGAGGATTCTGTGAAGGGGAGAAAGCCTGGGTTGTCATGTGGTATAAGGCAGGCGAGAAGAAGAAGGCGGCCGTGGCGATCCGCCAGGTGCACAAGCCGTGCAGCCAGGTGTGCCAGTGGACAGCGGGTGACTACTCCGAGGCGCGGATGCGGGAGATGGCAGTGGACATGGTCAGCAGGCTGTGCGTGCGGGAGATCACGGAAGCGACCGCGAAAGCGCGAGGCGAGGAGTTATTGCGCGACAAGTTCGGACTGGCGGCGGCGCCGTGAGTAGCAGGAGGGAGCGGCGGCAGCGGAGATGTGCATGTAGCGCAGCCAGTTCCGGGCCACAGTCACGCGGCTGAAACAGGAGTTCGGAACCAGACCATGCACCGTTCTCGATGCGGTCCGTTACAAAGGAGGGGGGCGAAGAGCGAAGGCAAAGAGGGGGGCGGGGGCGCCTCCTGGACGAGGGCCCGCCCCCTGCACGCAGTGGAGGGGCGCGTTGATCGACGGGGGGGAGGCGACGCCTCCCGATGGAGGCTCCGCCTCCTGCTCGGCAGCGTCGCCCCCGACGGGAGGCTCCGCCTTCTGCTCGGCGCCGCGTTCTATAGGAGGCGCCACCTCCCGGTGCATCCTGCTCCGA